CAGGGCCATCCTGGACTATATAGCGAGACCTCACTTAAAAAAAAAACACACAAAACAAAAACAAAAACAAAAATGTTTAAAGGGCTGGGGATATGGTGGGAAGGCCCTGAGTTCAACCCTCAGTCTAAAATCCAAGAAACACTCACTTGTGATGTGCTCTAGAATCAGGCTATTTTGGGAAAGGGAGACGGGCTGCATTTGAAGTATTTCCTAGAGTCTAGACTGTGGCCTTTACACTGGGGCTGGTTTTATAAAGCTTGATGTCCTTGGTGCCTGTGTGACGCCAGGGATATGGAAGGGAGCTCAGGAAGTATTTGCTGGAATGAACACACCCGTAAAAACCCACACTAGTAGTGATGATTTGGGGAGGGGCTCAGGAGGGCTGGGACGGTGCAGATATGGGGTCGGGAGCTGGAGACATGCATTTGCTTGGGACACATCCAGTTTAAAGAATTTAAGATCATCTAGAAACATTGCGGTGGGTTCCAAGAAATATGGTCTGGAAATAAAGCGCTCAGAGCATCAGTGTATGAACAGTAGTTCAACCTCTGAAAAATGAATGGATTTGTCATGTGAAAAAGGACGGAGGGTTCCCAGCATGGCCCTGAGAACACCAGCTTTTAGATAAAGTGTGGGGAGGGAAGCGGGCCAGCCAAGGGCTGTCCAGGAGCACAGGAGGACGGAGATAGATTTGTCCTGGGTTTGGCAATTCGGAGGTCCCCAGGAGGACTCTGATGATTTCAGTGTAAAAATGAGTGAGGTGTGGGTGGAGGGAAGACTGGAAAGTGAGGAAGGACCAGATAGGTAAGGAGTGAGAGGCAGGGGTATCATGAGGAGGAGACAGGCAGATACAGGATTTCACTTTTTAAGTGTTTAGAGGTCAGATAGTAGAGAGGGAAGGAACGATAGGAGATATAGGGCAGGGCATGTCATTGAGATGGATTCTGTCTCTTTTTTATGGTATTGGGCATTGAACCCAGGGCCTTTGTACTGAGCTACATTTCCAGGTCCTTTTTTAAATTTTAATTTTAAGACAGGATGCTGCAAAGTCGCTTAGTTTGGGTTTGAACTTGTGATGGGGGATTGATTCTTGGAAGGTGATGAGGGAATCCTGTGTCCAGTTGGTGAGATTTGGAGGGAGAAGTGGTGGGTGAGTCTAGAGATGGCAGGCAGGCAGCTGCCTCCAGTTTTTCATTACAGAACTGAGGGGCAGTGAGAGTAAGAAACCTAAAATCATAACCTCAGTTCCCAGTACCGCAAAAAAAAAAAAAAAAAAAAATCACTGAGCTATTACGTAAATCCTGTGCTGGGTCCAGGGTGTCACTGTGCCCCGGGATACATGGGTAAGAACCTGATTACCCTGTGAGTGCAGGGGGCAGTAACAGGTATGGTTTCTGATCCCACAGGCCTTATGTCTTTACCTCTTGCCTTCAGCTCTGCCTTTGGGCCAGTCCCTGGCATTGCTCACCAGATCACCTTAGGAGGGACACCTCGGTTCTTGGCACAGTGCTAAGAGAGTGGTTGGCCCTCTTGCCCTGGGTCAGCTTTGCCTAGAATCTGGGTGAGCTGGTGCCCTGGGCAACTACCTGGTCACAGGGAGAGGCTGGTATACTTTGGACATGATTACATCAGAGGCTGGCATTTCTTTGCAGGTGCCCTCTGCAACTTGGCACTTGCCTTTTGTACTCAGGAGCCAGGTCATCAATGTGAGACAGTGGTCGGAGAAGGTGCCAAGTTGTCCTGAGGCAGCAGTCAGCACAATAAGCCTTGCTCCAGGCATGCCCATTGCCACAAGCAATCCTTGTGACTTGGCCCAATAAGAGAGGGGGCGGGCTCTTCAAATCTCTACTTGGGGCTCTTGGGGCAAGCCCTAAGCCAGCCCGCCTGCTGAGCACAGCACAGCTCCTTGATGGAACAAAGACATGCTAGTACAGAGCTTTGTTGGCATGGAGGTCAAAGAGGAGCTAGTTGACTTGTTGCTTGGGTCCCATCCAGGCTGCTCACCTCTGACTGCCAGTCTTTTCCCTCAAGGTCAGCCAAGACTGGCTGAGCATTTCTTTCGGTTGCTATGGAACATGCTGTATGTAGTATTCTCCATCTTGGCTGCATGTTAGAATCACAGAGGTGTTTTATTGTGCGTTTGCTTTGCTTTTTGCTACTAATGCTTAGACCCCTAACTAAATAAAAATTTTGGAGAGCAGCGCCTAGACATTTTTAAAACTCTTCCGACCCTTGCCTTGGATAGCTAGTGTTGTGACTTATTGGTGTAAAGGGGGATGTAGTGGGTGCCAAAGCGAGTAGCAGAGGGTACCGTTGACAAAGCAATGAAATGTCAGAACTAGAAGAACTCTGACCCAGAGCTTTGGCATCTCAAATCTGATCATGCTCAAGGGGGCTGGCTGCAGTGCGCATCCTTAGGCCCCACCCATATCATTTAATTAGAACCCAAATGCTCAAATTTGTTCCTTAATACCCCAAGGATTCTTGTGTTCAGCCTTTGTCATGAACATCCTCCCTAGCCAGGCGCCTGTAATCCTAGGGCTTGGGAGGTTCATCACAGTGAGTTCCAAGCCAGCCTGTGCTCTATAGTGAGTCCAAGGACAGCCTGAGTGACATAGTGAGACCCTGTCTCAAAAAACAAAACAAAACAAAGAAATAGATCCTCATTTTGTGGGTTTGCTGTTGCTAAGACTGGAGGCTTTATGATGCCTATGTTGCCGATCTGATCAATGTATTTAGAGCAGCGGGGATCTTTCAGGGTGAATTTCCAGCTTGATACTCATAGAAACAGAGTCAGAGAGAGAGAGAGAGAGAGAGAGAGAGAGAGAGAGAGATGATCATCCATGTGACCTAACCTAGCATTCATTCAGTGCCTTTTGAAACACCTTACCAGGTAGTGCACCAGAAGTAGCCAGGTAGGTAGCACACTGGTAGTACACCAGGTGCTGGACCTGTTCCCATCTCTCAACAGAGCTTCTGTTCAAATGAAAGAAAGCCAGAGAGATTACAAACAAGTAGGTAGCTAAACTACTTTAAAAATATCAGATGGCTAATAAGGCGATGAAGAGGGTCAGGTGTTGGGCCATGCCTCGCCTCCGCTTCATGGTCAGGTAGCACTGAGGAGTTATTAGACTCGTGAGTGTAACTGGGGAGTTCTGATAGTGAATCTCTAACTTCCAGGGTAGGGTGGGGTGGGCTCAGTGATGGAGGGCTTCCCTAGAAGGGCTGGACCTCTGACTTTCTCACTGGGCAGGACCACCTTCCATCTCCTCCCAGCTTTCCATGACTGCAGCTAATCCTACTGAGAAGTCTGCCTAAGCCCCTCCCCGGCTGTCTGGCCACATTCAAGATTTGTTCTGCATTGGTGGCCTCAGAGTGGAGCTTGGGAAATGCCCCATTAGTGAGCACAGCATAGACCCCACAGCAGGACAGCCACTGGCAATGGATTTGTAACTCAGACTGGCCTCATCTAGATACTGTCCCACTCTGAGAAATTACTGAAGGTGTTCCACTTGTCCCTAAGAAAGCAGAAGCACCAGTACTTCCCTCCCTTTGCTGGTCTGTCCTGAGAGTCTTTGAGCTCTCAGGTGACCCAGGCCTCTCCCAAGCTGATCAAGCCCTCTTTAGGCCAGGCCCTGGACTATATGTGTCAGTCTGGGGTTCAGGTGACTCTTCTGCTCCAGATAGTTGGGGATACACAGCAGGGATGAAAGAGGCTGGCACTCGGTATCCTGTGTCCCATCCCGTGGCTGTGGAAGGTGTGGAAGTTTCTCTTATTTCCTTTTTTAAGATTAAAAGGAAAAGCTCAGCCTGCCCTTGAGCTTACTATGTAGCCCAGACTAGCTTCAGATCTGCGGTGATCCTCCCGCCTCAGCCTCCCAAGTACTGAGATTGCAGGTGTGTGTCACCACACTTGGCTAGCCACAGAATTTTCTTTCATTTTGTTATAGAAAAACATTTATTGGTACATTTTAGGCATACGTAATGATAACACTCATCACAGGCAATTTGCACCTGTACTTGATCCGTTCCATCTGTTTTTTCCCTTCCCCACTTTCCTCAAGCCCCCTCCCCTATGTATGAAAGCTTTGTTTCCATTTTTCCTTTCTATTTTCACTTTTGTTTCTTGTCCCTTCCTTCCTTGCTCCCTCCCTCCTCCCTTGTTCCCCTTCCCATTTGAAGATTTTCTTCGCATTTCCCAGTATCTATTATACATTTTAGTCTTTTCCATTTTTGGTTTCTCACACCAGCGAAACAATAGCTGCAGAATTTTCTTGGGCACTGACTCAACAGTGTGTTGTTGGCTCTGTAGGTGCACACAGCAGCTCGCCCAGCCCTTACCTCAGTGGCTTCTGGCCTTATCTTACCGACCAGACTGTGGTGCTTCTGAGCTCCGCAATCTTCGAAGATTGCTAATGAGAGGGGGCATTGGCAAGACCAGTGCATTCGACTAGAAGGTGCAGAGTAGATAAACTTCACTCTGGTAAAATATTAGCCAAGTCTTGGCATAGTAACCTTAGCTTTTGTCAAAAGTGGCTGGAGAGGGCAAGGGTAGATAGAGCTCAGTAGTAGCATGCCCAGAGCCCTGGGTTCCATCTGCAGTGTCACACAAAAAATGTGGGTAGGGGTACCCATTGGACCCCTGGAGCTCATCTTTCCTATGTCAAAACGCAGAAAGACAGGGAGGGGAGCCCCACTGGAGAGGCTGGGGTAGAACAGTCTGGCTTGGGACCTAAATCCCTGGTCCTTGGGACCTAATCTTTGAGGTCTGGGGCTTCAGTCTCCCTTGTGTGGCAGGGCACCCTACCTGGATTCCTAATATTGCCCTTGGAGGATTTAGCAGGAACTCCAGGGCCAGAAAGGTCCCTCTGGGGATGCCCCAGGGAGTGGCCTCTTGCTTCCTAGAGGAAGAAGGGGGAGGGTGGGGGTGTGTCTTGCTCCAGTGTCAGCAGAAGTGTTGTGGAGCCAACTAGACGACACCTGGGACTCCTACCTCCTAGGTGGCCCGAGGCAGCCGGGATGACAGTTCTCCCCAGGAACCCTGCTACCTGCTGAGAAACATGATCAGCAAGTCCCGTGAGTGTTGTCCAGGGGCTCCCCCAGTGGAGAATGGGCCTCTACAACTGGTCCTCAGCAGTGTCCTGGGACCCCTAGGGGGTGGTAGAGGGTACACTTGGGAGCTAGGGAGCCTTTTCATCTGGAAGGGCCGCAGAAACACTCAGGAGAGGACCAGGGACTGGGTGTGTCTGAGCTAGGGGTTGGAGATGCCCAGGTAAGGCAGATGAAAAAGTGGACTGGGACTGTATCTGTCTGTTTCTGCCTCCAGCTCCTCTGTGCATGTACCCTGCAGGCTGGAAGCTCCTGGCCATGTTGGCTTTGGTCTTGGTGGTCATGGTATGGTATTCCATCTCCCGAGAGGACCGATACATTGAACTGTGAGTGCACTTTCCATGCTCTTCCTTTGGTTCTTAGGGATCGGGCAGTCATGGGAGGAGACCTAGCAGGAAAGGAGGGTTCTGAGAGCTGGGGACGTGAGGGTGGGTGGCAGGCGATAGGGTAGGATCTGGATAACTTCCCTGGGCCCCCATAGAGGGAATGCCAGGCAGGAAAGGTTAAACTTGGGTCATGAATTCCACCCGGCAGCTCCTTCTCCCGCACTTTAGGATGTTTGTGTCCCTCAAAGGTGCCTGGAATCAGGCCTCGGGTCTGACTGGGGCTCTTTCCTCCTCTCTCTGTCTCCAGTTTTTATTTTCCCATCCCAGAGAAGAAGGAGCCATGCTTCCAAGGCGAGGCAGAGAGAAGGGCCTCTAGGATCTTTGGCAAGTAAGTGCATGAGTATGAGGGGCCTGGGACAGAATGGGTTATGCCATGAGTGAGGGACACAGCCTCAGGGCTGGCAGCTGGGCTGGTAGACATGGATTAAAGGAAGCCAGAACTCTGAGGCCTAACCCCATATTGGCGTCTAGATTAATCCCCTTCTCACCTCTTCCTTGTATAGCCACACCCGAGATCACCCTATCTTTCTGCAGCTTAAGGATTATTTCTGGGTCAAGACACCATCTGCCTATGAACTGCCCTATGGGACCAAGGGGAGTGGTAAGTTTCTGCCCAGCTCCATTCAGCCATGCTGATGCCTGTTCTTTGCCATGCCCTGTGCCAAGCTCTGTGGCAGGCCGAGGTTATCAAGCCAAGGAGAAAAGTTTTATCAGTTCTCTGAGGAATGGAGCAGGGCAGGCAGCCCTTGGAATGCTCATGGATGTCTCAGTCCCTTCCTGTTCTCTTTGTAGAAGACGTGCTCCTCCGGGTGCTAGCCATCACCAGCTACTCTATACCTGAGAGCATCCAGAGGTAAGGATACACTCCTGCCATTCTAGTCTGGTGCCTCTTCCCCTCTCCTGCTCCAGCGTGAAATCATCATCGCTGTGCACCATCCCAGGGATCCTCCCTCTTAGCCTGCCTGTCTCCAGAGGACACAGGTACACCAAACCCCACAACAACCTAGTACTGTCACCTGGGGGCCAGAGTAGGCAGAGGCTACTGAGGGTATCACCAAGGCAACGGTAGGACTGGGCAGCTGGCAAGGGCACTCTACACTGTTTTTGTTTTGTGTTTTGGTGGTACTGGGAATCAAACCCATCCCCAGGCTGGCCTCAGACCTCTGCCTCAGCCTCCAGAGTGGCTGTGATCATAGGTGTGGGCCACTGTGCCCAACACGCTGGGGTTTTTACTGGGGCTCCCTGTGCACCTTCCCTCTTCTCCTTTCTCTGCTGTGCTCTGCTCAATTGCCTCTGCCTTTTAGGCCAAGCCTTGCAAAATCAGGACTGAAAGCAAGGCTGTTTGGGGGTACCTGCTCCAAAGAACCAGGGGCCAAGGGGAGCCTAGGAAGTAACCCTGAGCTGGACCTTAGGGAGATCCAGGGCCATGAGAATTCAGTAGAGCAGGCGCTACTACAGGATTTGATGGCTTCTCTTCTTCCTGCAGTCTTAAGTGCCGCCGCTGCGTGGTGGTGGGGAATGGGCACCGGCTACGGAACAGCTCGATGGGAGATGCCATCAACAAATACGATGTGGTCATCAGGTGTGTGTGACCATCCCTTTCTGTTCGTGTTTGGATACTGGATGTCCCAAGAAGGGGTCTGTCCACAGGCCCCAGGCCTGTAGTGATGGATACCCTCTTCCTGCCCCAGATTGAACAATGCCCCGGTGGCTGGCTACGAGGGTGACGTCGGCTCCAAAACCACCATGCGGCTCTTCTATCCAGAATCTGCCCACTTTGATCCCAAAGTGGAGAACAACCCAGACACACTTCTGGTCCTGGTAGCTTTCAAGGCAATGGACTTCCACTGGATTGAAACCATTCTGAGTGATAAGAAGAGGGTAAGTAGAAGGGCAAATGAGAGGGAGGTCCCGGGGATGGGGACATTGTTCGAGTCAGGATCTCACGCCCCATGGTGTGTCTGCCCTGTAGCCCTAAAGAGCAGTGAGGACAATGTGAACCGGGCTCCCTGCCAAGGGCAGAGTCCTGCAGGGCTTCTGATAAGCCTTGTAACAGCCCTGGGGAATCAGGCAGTGGCAGCCAAAAGCACCCCCCCACCCACACTGAAAGCTGTCTGCTGCCAGAATGTGTATGTCTATGAGCAGAGGAACCTTCCAGTAGCCCCAGGCAGACAGGATGGGCCAGAATATTGAGCTCTGCGCCCTTCCAGATGGTCCCCAGCAAAAGCCCACTCGTTCCCTTTGCCATCCTGACAAAGCCTAAACTGTCCAATCTGGCTTGTTTTGTTTTGTTAAGACGACATCTCACTATTTGTCTAGGCTGGCCTTTACCTCATTGTTCCCTGAGGTAGTCTTGAGCTCTCCATCCTCCTGCCTCAGCCTCCCAAGTGCTAGGATTATAAGCAAGTGCCGCCTGACTGCTTCCCAGCCAGGAACCATTTTTTGCCACATGTTTAGACAGCTTCAAACATAGTAGGCCCTTCTTGTTGTTTGGGTATCCTGGCCGTGGGTAATGGTTGGACCCCATACTCTCCACACCTTGTCACCTAGTCCTCCCCTCCCCTCTCTTCTCCCTCTCTTGGGTTCTCATTGGTCTCCCTTCCATCTTGGGTACAGGCCGCCTCCTTCTCCTTCCACTTGCACTTTCAAGGCCTCTCCTTCACCTGGATCCCACCCCTAGCTGAAGACCCCCCCATCTAGGTTGGACTTGGAAGACAGATCTTCACCCACTATCATCTCTGTTGCTTCCAACCCCATCCCGTAGGTGCAGAAAGGCTTCTGGAAGCATCCTCCCCTCATCTGGGATGTCAACCCAAAGCAGGTTCGGATTCTCAACCCCTTCTTCATGGAGATTGCCGCCAACAAGCTGCTGAGCCTGCCAATGCATCAGCTGCGTAGGGTCAAGCAGGTGAGGGCGGGTGAGGAGCTCGGGGAAGCCATGGAGGAATCCAGGAGAGGGGTCAGCAATAAGAAAGAGCTTGAGCTTGAGCTTCAGGCGCTCACCTGTAATTGAGGGCAGGCTTCTCGAGCACGTGTGGGGAACTGTGGGGGATCTTAGAGCCAGTGAAACATCTGGGTTGGGCTCGGGGCTGCAGTTAGAAGATGCGTTTGGCTGGTGCTGGTGAGAATTTGGAAGCTAGTTGCCACTGGAGCAGTCACTGGTCCTGTCTTTGGAACAGCTTGAGTCTATATAGATTTATCATTAGACACAGCTGTGTCTTACCTGGGAAGGCATTAGTCTGAGTGAATTTTGACTCGCTTTGTTGGTATGGTGTGTATTTGCAAGTTACCATTTCTGATTTCGACTCAGTGCCTCCGGGTCTTCAGCTGGCAGCCTTTAACCCACTCTATAGCTTCCCAACTACCTCTCCTCGTTTCTTAGACCCCCTTGCTGGGTCAATGGGTGAAGGATTCTGTGGATGGTAGGAGGAAGTAAGTCAGCATTGCAGACAGGACTTCTGTACCATTCACAGTGTGGCGTTGAGCAGGCCAACCACTTGGACTCCCAGTTTTCTTGTCTGTATGGTGGGGCTAATATTCATGGTGACCTTTTAAGGCCATTGTGGGATTTAAGAAGAGTTATTATATAGAACGCCTATCATGGAGAGTGGAACACAGTACCTGCTCAATAAATATTTGCCAAATTTTGAATCATTTGATTCTTGACAATATTTGCTTGCGTCACCTTCTAGAGCTGGGCCTGAAGCTTGCGTACTTAGTAGGTGAAACATGCTCCTTGCTCCAAGGAGACTCAGTCCAGCAGAAGAAGCCTACAGGTTGCACTGTGGAGTGTAAAATACTGCAGTAGAGTGCTCTGGGAGTTCAGGGGAGGGACAGACTTCTGTCTAGAGCTGTCTCAGGTTTCTCAGAGGAGGACAGTGTATGTAGCCCAACAGGCAGGGAGGGGCTGCAGGAAGCATTCCATTGGGCAAGGGCAAACAGCTCCTCTGGCGTCAGGCTGTGCTAGAGCAAGTGAAATTGAGGGGCAATGAGGAGGACTTTATGGCATGGGTATGGGTAAAAGTGGAATAAAGTATGGAGGGGGTGTTAAGGACCTGAACCCAGTTCTAGGGAAGCAGGGAGGGACTGGACATGGACTTGACATTGTGTGTTTTCTGTTGGTGCATAACTAAGTGGCCTAAAATTACACATACCACTTAACGTCCTTTAGGCTCTTTGTTTAGGTGTCACAAGGCTGATCATAAGAACTGAATTCCCATCTAGAGGCTTTGGGGGAAGTTCACTGCCAAGCTCACTCTCCTTATTGAAGAATTAGTTTTCTGTGGTCCTAGGACTGAGGTCCTCCAATCCTTGCTGGCTCTGCATGGTAGGGGACACCTTCAGCACCTGGAAGCTACCCAGATGCCTTGCAATGCAGCTCCCTCTATCTTGATATGAGCAACAGCAGGACAAATCCTTCTTGTGTTTCAGATCTTTGACTTTCATTTCTGATCTCAACATGCAGATTTTTTTTTTTTTTTTTTTTTTT